ATCATCCTTATCATTGTTACTATCTAATCTCACCTCATTAATTTGCAGGATCGTAATTCTCCCACTTACCAGACAGAAACTGGTTGTCAAAAATTCCTGACACGAACGACTGAATGGGTACCCAATGACTCCAGTTCATTGCTTGTTCCACTGGACATTCATCTCAGACATCTGGAATCAACATATCAGTGCATATTCCAGGCGTAGTGACTACATACACCCACATCTATAGGCATTGGCACTCTGCATGTACAAGTCTCTCAGCATCATCCTGGCACATCTCCTATCCATTTGCAGTATGCTTCTGTACAACAATGTCACATTTTGGCGCACTCTGGCACCTCTCATTGGTATGTTATTTCGAGGGAACTTTGCACACTGGGTCAGGCAACAAGCTCATGTATTGGAGTAGGCTGCATCTCAGGGCTGCTCACTCACTTTCTTACTACAGATTTACTTTGCATCTTCCCAGATGCTCATGGCATCCCTGCCTTACCTTGCCTTTCTGCACTTTGCTCCCTTAGCCAGACCTTAAAGGCACATAGTATTTCTGTATTTCCTTTCTGTTTAGTGCAGGCACTAGGCCAAGCAGTTTATCATCCTTATCAGCTGTCATCAGACAAAGGGATGGACATGTTGCTATAGGACACCATGCTGTGTCAATATCAAACCTACAGCCCCAACCAGCAACCCAACAGCAAATGCTCTGCATATGGGCATCAACCAAATAAGGAAATACTATGGACTAGTGGTATTGTCACTAGATTTATAATCCAGAGACTCTAGTAATGTTCGGTTATGGGTTCAAATCCCACCAGAGCAGATGGTAGAATTAAAAGTCTAATGTAAACCATGAAACCATTGTCAATTGCTGTAAAGAAAAAATGTGTTTCACTAAAGTCCTTTAGGAAAGAAAATCTAACATCCTTACGGATCTGGCCTAAATGTGATTCCAAGTAATGTGCTTGACTCTTCCCTCTGAAATGGCCTAACAAGCCATTCAGCTATATAAACCACTAGAAAAGAAATGAAACCAGGCCGACTACCTAGCGTCAACTAAGGCACCAGAAATAACAAAGAAAACACAATCCTATCAACCATGCAGAGCTCTCCTTCCTAATACCTGGGGCTAGTGCCAAGGTTTGGGAAGCTCACAGTCTAATCAAGCAACAAACTGACATAGTCACACTCACAGAATCATACCTTACTCACAATTATCCAGCCAACACTGTCACAGTCTCTGGGTATGCCCTGTCCCAATTGGAAAGGCAGATTCAGCAAAGGTGTTGCTAAGGAGTTGACGTAGGAGCAGAATCTACACTGGGTGGAGAACTTCAAGAAAGCAGGTTAAATCTAACCCAGCAATTAACAGTCCATAAGTCTACTCTCAATTGTCAGTGAAGTGATGGAAGGTGTCGTCAACAGTGCTATTAAGCAGCATTTGCTTAACAATAACCTATTCACTGATGTTCAGTTTGGGTTCCATCAAGTTTGGATTCCACTCAGTTTTTGACTTCATTAAAACCTTAGTTCAAACATGGACAAAAGATCTGAATTCCAAAGATAAGGTGAGAATGATTGCCCTTGACATCGAGGCAACATTTGACCAATGGTGGCATCAAGGTGCCCTAGCAGAATTGGAGTCAAATGGAATCAGGGCGGAAAACTTTCCACTGGTTGGAGTCATCCCTGGTACAAAGGAAGCTGGAAACATAAAACAAAGAACTGCAGATGCTGGAAATCTGAAACAAAATCAGAAATTTCTGGAAAAACTCAGCAGGTCTGGCAGCAAGTGAAAGAAGAGTGAATGTTTTGAGTCCGGTGATGCATCATCATACCAGGTGGAGGGTGGATTCAATGTAGCCCATCCTTTGACCAGGGCTCCAGTGGAGCAGATGATAGGCCTGTTGAAAGTGAGGTTTTCTGGCTTGGAACAGTCTGCAGACTTCTCACAAAGTACTATGCACAGTCTATGTCGCATAAACCTCGTGTCTGTGTTCTGCATAACTGGAGAAGGTGAAGACAGAATGTGATAAATTCTAAAGTGCTTGGTGAGGGGGACCAGCCTTCTGAAAAGGTGGATGAGGACATTGAACAAGAGAAACATTACCATCTGCATGATAGAGCACCGTAGCATCAGGCGCCACAAGCCGGACAGGACTTGGGTAACACGCGGCTCCAGTAGATGAGATTTAGGTGCGGTAATCACTCAATTAATGTAAAATTATTATTGCTGGACATGAAAGCAGTTCATTTCTATATTGAAAGGCAAATGGAACTTCTGATTGTTTGTCCTCTGTTCACTTTTGGGGTTGATGAATAAAGATAAATGTTTTAAACAGTTTGAAGGCTTCCCTTTATGTGATAGTCCCAAATTGACAATGATAAGATGCTGGGTTACAGCGGGTAGTAGTGAAACGGTAGCAGTGACTACAGGGAATGAGGCTAACATCAAAGAAGTTGTGTATCTTGTTGCCTAAACAATGATTAGGATAGGAATGTGTAGTAATTATATTTGCAAGGAAATGTCAGCCATGGCACCTCTGTTTCATGACAGATATTGATTTGGCCTGGTGTACTACTGGATTAATAGCGAAGGGCAACTGCCAACATTTGATTGGGTTGCAGCTGGTGGCAGGGGGAAGGGGTTGATGTTTCAAAGGCAGCCCTAGCACCAAGGGTCCTGAGATATCCCAGTAGTGGTGAGTATTTCCATTTACAGTGAGTGGAAGAATTAGGAGAAGTGGGTGGCCATTAGATGAGAAGGGTGCTATCAGGTGTGGTATCTAATTAATGAAGCTAATTCAAGATTATAGTGCAAGAAAATTTGCTAGGCCCCATGAAAAAAAAACCCTCTGGGAATCACGATGAATAGTCAATCTCTGGAAAGATTCAGTCCAACATCTTAGTTTATAGTTCCCCAAGAAAAATAAAGATCTTTATTAAGGCAAAGACCAGTCACAAAACACCAAATATTGGTCTTAAAGCTAGCTCAAGCTTTCCTATTATAACATGAGCCTGTAACATTCTGTGGCAAAGATCACACAGTTGATAAAACAGGTGATATTGTCAGAATGTAATGCCATATGGGTTTACTTTACTCTGATTTCTTTTACAACAATATCTTGTTTCTTGCTAGTTGCAATTAACAAATGGTAGCCTGTAATTAAATATTATACCACTGCTACTGAATTAATATATTTATTCAAACTCTATTGAGAATATTAATAATTATGTATACAAGTAAAGGAATCTTTATGGCCATTGTTCACTGAAATTTTTGCGATAGTGAATGACATGTTAATTAGTAAATTTATGACAAGAAGCATAGACTAGACCATCGAAACACTGGCAATAGACAAACAAGAAATAGAGCAATGCAATAAGTGGAAGGGCTTTACTGCTCAAGGAGGTTAGGGCCACTTTAAGACAGTAAACCTCTTTGTTGTCGTGTTAACATGGAAAACAGCAAGCACAAGAGGTTTTCCTCCAGTGCTGTCAGCTAGAAAGGACACAATACATGGTACAAAGTAAAAACAAACTGAAGAAAACAATTCGAACTACAATCAAAATGTCATAGAAACCTCCTTCTAAATGCAATAGGATACAGAAAGATATACAGTGTGACAGCTCCAGCATAATACATTTCCATTTCATACGAGCGGCTCCGATAAACTGACAGTGACATTTAATGAGAAGAGCGGGGGCACTGTTCACTGACACACTACTCTGGTTCAAACCAGAAGATGTTAAAGCGCATCAGTCAACATACATGACAAAGTGTCAGTCTGCTCACTGCAGCTCATTTTCACTTTTTTTATTTTGCGATTTCACCGTCGTTCGAACTACTTCAGTTGACTTGATTGCAAATGTCTCTCACGGAACAGTGAATCCAATCAGAACAAAACAGGGTACAGACTTTCATTTTTAAAAGGCAGACTATCAGACCACTTGTCAAAGATCTGATGCATCTAAAATCCTCGAACCAATTAAAATACATACATTCTTATTTGTCATAAAGAGACAGTATTTCTTGTTAGATGAAAGAGATAGAATTTTAAAGTTAAGTTCCAACAGTTCTTTCTATCCCCAATGAAATGCATGCAAAATATCATGTCACCGTTTGACAAACAGGATAGTTCAATTATAGTATTCCACTTCACTATTCTAATTAATTTAATAGATTATAGAAATTTACATTTCAATTGCAATTCTAATTCAAGTGCACAATTTTGTGCTAAAGTAATACGGTTTCTTTTCCAGAATTCAGCACAGAAACTGTCGCTTTCTTAAAAAAAATTGAATGGCTGCCACCGCCAAACTTTTTTTTTTAACGGAAGTACACAAAGCTCTGCCTAAAGGCTAAAGAGGTTTAATAAGATAGCACATACTGGACTGATTTTTTTTGACATTGTGTTGAACAACCTCGCTAGACTAAAGGATACTGTCTCTTTAAGTCACTTTAAGATTTTTTTTAGCACCTTCCAAACTACATAGTGCAAACAAGTCTACGATTAAAACAGTTAAACTATTTTGTAAGGGAAATGGATGATATGTGTCTTGCAGCGCAAATCAGTACCAGAGGCTCAAAATCATTGCAACAATAAAAAAAACAATAAATCAAACATATAAATGGGCATTTCCTTTCAATTGATGCTTGTATTCTGAAATAATAGCATGTTATTTTGCTGTGTAAAGCGTTTTAACTTTGGATATCTATTAATGCATAAAACACTTGAATTTTATCAATATTGATTTTTAATTATTACCAGATTAATCAATGTATTTAGTTAGTTCTGCCTTTGTCACAAATTTTCACTTTTCCAACTTGTTTGTCCTAATTAAGCACCAATCTGTAAAGAATCTTGAGTATATGCAAAAAGATCTGCAATCTTACAAATGACTGAGATTTCTGATCCCCTGGTTTAATCACTATTACCTGATACTGTTAGAAATGATACCAATGATAAGTACCTGCACAGGAATGACATCATACATACCCCTTAAAGGAGGGTTCACGTTTGATTCCACATTCAGGTGAACGTTGCGATGTTCTGTGGAACCAGGACAACGAAATGAACTTTCAGAGATACACATACCCCCTAATAATAACAATAATACAAACACTGAGAATAGTAATAACAATGTGCCACATTACACATAGTATGCAGGGTGATATGACAGGCCCATCTGAACAGCAGGCCGACAGAGTGTGAGCTCATTACTATCCATAAAAGACAGCACTCACTTCCCATTGGATAAACCAAAATAATGTTACTATAATGGCTGGTCATATTTAGTGATTACATTGCCAGTTAATATGGTTGAAAGTTAGAGAAGGAATAAATTTCTTAATATTTTTCATCATTACAGAATCCAGAGTTCAAACGTGGATTGTAAATCATAAAGAGGATGTGTCCATTCACAGAGGGGCCTGTTTCACACCAGCAAATTCACATCTTACCCTTACATTACATTCACATTAATAGAAAGTAGATGAAAAACTGAGTCAATGCCAAGTTAAACAGAATATGGACCTTTACATTATCTGCATTCAGACAGCAATAATCTGCTGAACTGTTCTAATTATATAATTATGTTCCATTGTTTGCAGCAGACTGAAGTATCAAACATTTTAAATATTGATGCTGTCCCTCACTAAATTGTTAATTAAAGTCACTTGCCAGCAGTTATTCGTGGAATATAGAGCTATTCTACTGGACGGTGTTAAAGTTTTAAATAAGGCTGCAAGTCATTCTTCAAGGCACACTCAATCCTGACTTGACACCGTAACCCTGCCCCTTCACTGTCTCTGGGTCAAAATCCTGGAGCATACTTCTTAACAGCATTGTGGGTGTACATACACCACATGGAATGCAAGAGTTCAATATGGCTGCTCTACACCTCCTCGAGAACAATTTGGGATGGGAAATAAATGCTGGCCTACTCAGCACTGCCTAAATCCTGTGAAATAATAAATTACTAAAAACAATGAACATTCTTATAATTGTGTTATAGATATAGAGGATTTTGAATATTTGGATATAATTAAATTCATAGAAAGTCTATTGATTTCCTGAATGGAACACATATTGTTAGCATAAGTGCAAAAGCTATGAACAGGCAAGTGTATATTTCCAATAAAGACTAATTCCCTGTTTTACCTTGGGTCTGATTGATCACCTGGTATTCTTAATTAACGTATCTCTTCACGAATCATCTCTTATTCTAAAGCCTAATCATTGGCCATCTTGCAACTTTGCTGACATCTGTTATGTCCAGCTATCTTCTAGGACCCTTTGAATAAATGATTGCTTTGCATTATCTCTGTAAATCATATTGCCATCCTTCAAGATTAACCCATATTACTCGGTACATATAAAACTTGAGAGATTTACAAAATTAATGTTGGGATTTGACAGTTAACTAGACAGAAATGGACAAATATATTTTCTGGCTCCCCAAAGTATGAGAGTTCCATTGGCCTTAGAAATATATAATTCTCAGTGAAAATTCATTCATTAAACCAGATCTATGAGAACTTTTAACGAATATCTTTCAGGGCTGTAAAAGGGCAGAACACAAGGAGGGCAAAAGAAACAGGAGGGAAGTAGCAGACATAAAGCAGTTCAGGTTAAAAAGACAGCTCCTCTCATAAATTATTTGCTAACTATCCTGGTATGGAGCAAGAGTACAAAGAATCCAAATTATGATACTTGTACTGATTTCCAACAAAGGAGCAAGAACAGCATTACAATAAGTCTCAAAATACTGTTACTGAGCAAGGAAAAGGAGAATTTTTTCACTGTTTTCATGCTTGAAAGTGCACCTGTGTGAAAGGGTAGATGTAGGTAGGACTATGTAGAGGCTGCCCTTGCCCTTCTCCCAACTATTTATACCGTATATCATCAAAAAGAAAGATTGCTGAGGTGAGTGGCCAGCAGCTACGAAGTTGCAGCCTTGCACTATGCCAGGATCTTCAGTTCCAAGGAAGGGTCACTTGACCCGAAATGTTAACTCTGATTTCTCTCCACAGATGCTGCCAGCCCTGCTGAGCTTTCCCAGCCCTTTTTGTTTTTGTTTCTGATTCACAGCATTCTTTTCACAGTTCTTTCGCTTTGTTTTTAGTCAGTATCTTCAGGTTGCAATGGACAGGACAGCATTCCAAAAAAGAAAATGACACACGAGTAAAGAGGGTTGAAGCAGAAAGAAACAACTGTAAAGAACAAGAGTGCAGGACAGAAATGTCCCTGTAAAAATGAGGGATAGAAAGGGCAAAATTAGGGAACCATGGATGACAGGTGAAATTGTGAGACTATCAAAGAAGAAAAAGGAAATGTACATAAGGTCTAGGTGACAGAAAACAGACAAAGCTTCGGAAAAATATCGGCAAAGTAGGACCATTCTGAAACGAGAAATTAAGAGGGCTAAAAGGGGTCATGAAATATTTTTAGCAAACAGGGTTAAGGAAAATCCCAAAGCCTTTTATTCATATATAAGGAGCAAGAGGGTAACTAGAGAAAGGGGTGGCCCACTCGAGGACAAAGGAGGGAAGTTATGTGAGGAGTCAGAGAAAATGAGTGAAATTCTTAATGAGTACTTTGCATCGGTATTCACTGAGGAGAGGGACATGACGGATATTGAGGTTAGGGATAGATGTTTGATTACTCTAGGTCAAGTCAGCATAAGGAGGGGGGAACTGTTGGGTATTCTAAAAGGCATTAGGGTGGACAAGTCCCCAGGTCCGGATGGGATCTATACCAGGTTACTGAAGGAAGCGAGAGAGGAAATAGCTGGGGCCTTAACAGGTATCTTTACAGCATCCTTGAGCATGGGTGAGGTCCTGGAGGACTGGAGAATTGCTAATGTTGTCCCCTTGTTTAAGAAGGGTAGCAAGGATAATCCAGGTAATTATAGACCAGTGATCCTGACATCAGTGGTAGGGAAGCTGCTAGAGAAGATACTGAGGGATAGGATCTATTTACATTTGGAAGAAAGTGGGCTTATTAGTGATAGGCAGCATGGTTTTGTGCAGGGAAGGTCATGTCTTACCAATTTGATAGAATTCTTTGAGGAAGTGACAAAGTTGATAGATGAGGGAAGGGCTGTAGATGTCATAGACATGGACTTCAGTAAGGCGTTTGATAAGGTTCCCCATGGTAGGCTGATGGAGAAACTGAAGTCGCATGGGGTCCAGGGTGTATTAGCTAGATGGATAGAGAACTGGCTGGGCAACAGGAGACAGAGAGTTGTAGTGGAAGGGAGTTTCTCAAAATGGAGAACTGTGACCAGTGGTGTTCCACAGGGATCCGTGTTGGGACCGCTGTTGTTGGTGATATCCATAAATGATCTGGAGGAAGGTATAGATGGTCTGATTAGCAAGTTTGCAGATGACACTAAGATTGGTGGAGTAGCAGATAGTGAAGGGGACTGTCGGAGAATGCAGCAGAATACAGATAGATTGGAGAGTTGGGCGGAGAAAAGGCAGATGGAGTTCAATCCAGTCAAATGCAAGGTGATGCATTTTGGAAGATCCAATTCAAGAGCGAACTATGTGGTAAATGGAAAAGTCCTGGGGAAAATTGATGCACAGAGAGATCTGGGTGTTCAGGTCCATTGTACCCTGAAGGTGGCAACGCAAGTGGATAGAGTGGTCAAGAAGGCATACGGCATGCTTTCATTCATCGGATGGGGTATTGAGTACAAGAGTTGGCAGGTCATGCTACAGTTGTATAGGACTTTGGTTCGACCACATTTGGAATACGGCATACAGTTCTGGTCGCCACATTACCAAAAGGATGTGGATGCTTTGGAGAGGGTGCAGAGGAGGTTCACCAGGATGTTGCCTGGTATGGAGGGTGCTGGCTATGAAGACAGGTTGAGTAGATTAGGATTATTTACATTAGAAAGACGAAGGTTGAGGCGGGACCTGATTGAGGTCTACAAAATCATGAGAGGTATAGACAGGGTGGATAGCAAGAAACTTTTTCCCAGAGTGGGGGACTCAATTACTAGGGGTCATGATTTCAAGGTGAGGGGGAAAAGTTTAAGGGAGATATGCGTGGAAAGTTCTTTACGCAGAGGGTGGTGGGTGCCTGGAACGCGTTGCCAGTGGAGGTGGTAGAGGCGGGCACAATAGCATCATTTAAGATGTATCTAGACAGATACATGAATGGGCAGGGAGCAGAGGGATACAGATCCTTGGAAAATAGGTGACAGGTTTAGAGAGAGGATCTGGATCAACGCAGGCTTGGAGGGCTAAAGGGCCTGTTCCTGTGCTGTAATTTTCTTTGTTCTTTGTTATAATAAGTTAGCTTTATTTTTTTACAAAGGCAACCATCAGCATTTTTGAGAGTGTATTAATAAAAGGAACATAGTCATCTTTTTAGGGTAGAATTTCCATGTAGTTTTTTGCCAGCTGCTCTGAGGGAGTTAGCATAAGCCTGATAAAAAGAATCCCAGAGAAATCAAGAAGGCCCTTTAAATCATGGGCAGGAGTTTGGGACACTGGTGTTGGGAACAAAGAGGGCTCCTAACATCTGTCCATTATGTATCTGCTGGCACAATCTACCTAGAATTGACCTCTTAAGTGGTCAGGGCTGTGTTCACCAACTATTCAGGACTGTGGGCAGGCTCTTGATGTTTCTGACCGAATTGGGGTCTAGTAGGTCTGGAGCCTTGGCATACCTAACCAGATGAGTGGCCTCTGCTGATACAAATGCAGGATTTCTGTCACACCTCAACATGATGGCATACTTAGAGCTATTCATTAAGTTACAAACTAATGAAGATCAAAACTGATAAGGCCCCTTAAATCAGAGGAAAGATCCCTCTGGAGGAACTGTTTGTGCATTGGGGACATTAATTTAGTGCAGCTGCCCCATTGTTAGTCCACAGAGGAGCTGGTTTACAGATCCTTGAGTTTAGGGTGAGTTTGAAGATTGCTCCAGTCACAACCATGTAGAGCCTTAGTGAGGTTAACTAGCTACACACTGTGATGTGTGTGTGTGGTTTTGTGCCCATTCCAAGGAAATTTCTCCAATGATAGGAATCCATCAGTTGCATCAGGGAGTTACCCTGACGCAACAGCCCACATTTTTCT